CCCCATCTATCTCTCACTCTCTCAAAGACACACCTCTGGACAGAGCTTGATGGCAACAAAATTGAATAAAACGTATAGTTCGTGCGGTATACACCTCCGGACAACAGAGGAGATGAGCCGAAATAATCACAGTCCTTTCAATAATTCATCACTGATCACCGCTGTGCCGGATCGGCAGGCGATAAGACAACATTCGACCCAGCCCTGTGGCGATCATCGTCATGGTTGGAGATTGGGAAGAAACTTGCCTAGGATGAAAGTTTTGCACAAGAGTAAAATTTGAGATCAGACATAATGCGAGTAAATATTTATCTGTTTAAGAAAAGATGAGAACCTTGATATTATAACAGTCATTTAGTGCAGGGGAAGGTACGAGAGACCGACAGAAAGAAACAGCAGAGTCGAATAAAAGAAGTAGGAACTACCAGTGGCTCCTTTCAACCAATCCCAGCGAAAAACTCCCTTACATTAGACAGATAAGAAACTAAATGTAGATTTTTAAAAAAGAAGATCGCTCACCTACTTGACCAGCACTTGACATATCCCTGACGTGGTCATCTATGCAGGTGTTAAGAGACAACTAAACAGGGCGGGCGTCTTGTGTATAAGCTAAACATGTTTTAGAGTGTTCCGTTCTAGTTTTAGTAAGAGTGTTACGGCCCTTGCAACACGAATAGGTTATATAAGCGCGTAAGATTAGAAGTGTTACTAGAGAGTGACATATAGTAAATAATAAAGAAGAAGGATAGATAAAGGCAATATATATCTGATAGGCAATAAAGAGCAAACCACACCAGAGTACCTGTCAACCACCCATTTTGGAAGACAGTAAAGACCCAATACTGCAATTTGCAGTTGTTGGTACCAAATTGCAATGAGCATATCATAAGAAAACAACAAAGCTTTGAGTGCATATGATTATGATAAAGTAATACATGTACAAAGTAACATAACAAAATGAGAGGTGTTGAATATATTGATGTAACTGAAGGAGCTAGAGTAAAAGTGGACATTTTAGACCGGTGCTTGCAAACCTGGGCGATATTGGCCACTAGTGGGCGATTTGAACTATTTTGGTGGGCAGTGGGGGTCGACAGGGTAGTGAGAGTTATTACATAAAGCTCTGATTGGAAATATAATATTAAGTAAGTGGGCGTTAGTAAACTGTTTGCCTCTTCAAACGGGCAGAAGTGGGCGTAGGCTATAAAAAGGTTGACAAACACTGTTATAGACCGAGAGCTCGAGAACGTCTTCAGTATAACCAGCCCAGTACGAAAGATGGGCTTTTTATGTCCCAAAGTTGACAAAATGGGAAGGAAAAAAAAAGAAAAAAACCCCCCAACAACTCAGCCTCCGACAAAGGACAATGGACAATCAATATAAGGAGGGGCCAGCCATAAAGTATGAAGTTTTAATGTGGGTACGTAAAGTGACCCGTCCTACATCAGCGGACAGAAGGTCGATATTTTGAACGTGGGAAAAAAGCATCAGTGTGTCCCGCCTCTGTTCGGGAAGACAAACAGCTACTTGGTCTGGTCGACGAGTCGCCAAGTGGCAAAAATAAGGACAATTATGTATGTACTCTGTTCGCCTTCGCCGAGCAAGCGACATGAGAGGGAGGAAGATACGAGAAACGGAAACGTCGTTCTCACGGGTGGTGTACAGAAGAATAGGGTTGTGCCCACACCTAATTAAATAACCAGCTTGACTATTGTGCAATAATGTGAGTGAATTTTTAAAAAACACTTTAAACCCGGAAGAAGAAGGAGAAAAAGAAGGAGGGGGAGAAGGAGGAGGAGGAGGAGGAGGAGGAGAAGCAGCAGCAGCAACAGCAGCAGAAGCAGCAACAGCACAGCTTGCTTTACCACAAAACAGACACAGAATGCATCACCCTAGACAACGAACTCTCAGAAGTTGGTCAATTACGCAACTAAGTGCGCAACAGCCCATCGGTTTTACCAATGTAAAAACGAACTAATTAGTTATCAAAAAACAATCACTCGTTTTCATTCATAGCAGCAAAAAATGGTCAAAACGTGGCGAAAACTCAATACAGGGGGGAGACCTATTACACCAAATGTTAGCCCGTTTAACGTTTCTTTTCTTTGCAGTTGACGTGAACATACACTGATGGATTGGTTTCAACGCCGCATATTCGATCCAGATACATGGATCGATAGGTATCGATTAATTATTTTGAAACAACCACAGAACTGCTACATTCAATTCTTTATCCGAAACATAAAGGAAGAGAGTGGAAGCCAAGGCGATCAATAATTTATATATGATGCCCCGTGGAGATGGGCGCAGGAACAAAATTGTTGGGAGGAACTGATCAAGATATATTGTTTGGGGAAGTTTGTGCTTTTTATGTCAACGTACACAGCTGTGACAGTGCCCATGTGTACGTGTAGGCATGACAACGCTTACGTTCAGTACGGGATCGCTTTAACTTCTCTTTCGAGGCCGATTTCGGGGACAATAATCTCCAACTCTATAATCTCCAATACTAACCAGATGGGCCACGTTCAAGGCCAAGGAAAACATCAGGGTCGTAAACTTCAGGTTTTTAAATAGTATTAGTAAGTTTAACAACGCTGCAACACAATAGGGTCATACAAGCGCTCAAAAGTATAGGTGTTACAAGACAGTATAACAAATACAAAAAGAGAAGAAGGGAAGATAGTGACGATAGATGTTTGATAGGAAGGACAGATCAAACTATAACCTGCCAACCGCCACCCGCGAACTACGCTTCACTTGCTTTATTGTTGCAGTTTTATTAACCACAAAGACAGAAATGAGAAAAAATTCTTGCTTTTGGTAAAAAATACACTCAGCTCAGGGCATACATTTTTTTCATCACACAGCAGAATAATTTGAGAATGATATTTGTCGCTGACAACATACACACATTCACACACACACACACACACACACATACACACACACACACACACACACACACACACACACATACACACACACAAAAAACACAACCTCTTTCTCTCTGTGATTATTTTGGCTCATTCGCCATATTGCCCGGAGGTGTATACCACATGGACTATACGTTTTATTCAATTCTGTTGCCATCAAGCTCTGTCCAGAGACTGTGTGTGTGTGTGTGTGTGTGTGTGTGTGTGTGTGTGAGAGAGAGAGAGAGAGAGAGAGAGAGAGCTAAGAGAGAGAGAGAGAGATGGCTAAGAGAGAGAGAGAGGGCTAAGAGAGAGAAAGAGAGAGTGAGAGGTGAAAGG